ATCAATTACACACCCCAGAGGAGGCCTTACAGTATTTTCAAACCAATTTATCCGACATCTTGGGTCCTCCGCAGGTATTCCATGACGGGGGTATTGAAAATAATCAAACAGACATGGAAAGGATACACGCCTGGCCCAGAGAGTTTCTCGACCGCATACTATAAGAAATTTGCTGCCCAATTAGCCCCATACATGACCAGATTTTTAATTCATTACAAAATGGAGACACCTTAGATTCTCATTTGAACACAGCAAACATCACAGTGATACCCAAACCCTCCTTACCAGCCGATCTCCCTGACCAATAATGACCTCAAATTCATGACCAAAATTCTAGCAAATCGACTGTCCTTTTTCATTAGTCTGTATATCCTTAAGGACCAAGTCGAATTTATTATGGGCAGACAAGGTCCTGATCAAATCTGAAGGGTGGTGGACATTGTGTCTCTGCTTTGGTCTGGATGGGCAGGTGGGACTCCTCAGGAAGGCGTTTTAACTCTTTAAATTACAAACTAGATGGGGGGTTGGCCCACATTTTCTGGGGATCTTGCAGGCAATCTATACGACCCCAAAAACCCTAGTGCAACTCCAGGGATATCTCTCTAATTCGATATTGATTGGGAGGGGTATGAGACAGGGCTGCCCTCTCTCCCATTGCTGTTCGCAATTGCGACAGAGACACTGGCTGTTGCTATCCGGACCAGTCCAGATATTCATGGTGTGTGTTGTGGCCCACAGGAGCACAAGTGTGCCTTGTTTGCGGATGATCTCCTCCTCTTTATGACATCCCCATTAATCTCCACACCTAATATTCTTGGATTACTCTGGGAGTTCGGGGTAGTGTCAGGGCTGGAAATTAGCACATCTAAATCTATGGCATTGAATGTGATGATTCCCTTTGTATTGCTTGATCATCTTAAAAATCATTTCCCTTTCACTTGGAGTGAAACTAACATTCCTTATTTGGGAGAAACAACTTACAGCTAATATTGATTCGCTTTATATACAGTACATACAGTAATTACCCACCCTTATTTAAGAAACTGGAGGCTGACTTGAGACAATGGACCCATAGAGGCTCATTCACACTCTGATTCTGTAAGGAAACCCTTGAAATGCTTCCTACAGAACGCTTCCACTCTCTTCAAATTGCAAACATTTTTAGCATTCTATCTGACCAGAAGACCAGGTCCCCTAGAGTGTTACTCCGTACTAGAAGTGGTGTACACAGGACTCAGGCCAGTGGGGGGTATATTTCTCATTAATGGTTTGCTTTTAGGCTCTCCTCTGAAAATTCTCTATGTCTTGGACTGGGAAAAGGATCTTTTAACCACTTCAAGTCTGGACACTTTCACCCCCTTTCAGTCCAGACCAATTTTCAGCTTTCAGCGCTATCACACTTTGAATGACAATTGCACGGTCATGCAACACTGCACCCATATGAATTTTTTAGCATTTTTTTTGAGAGAGATAAAACTTTATTTTTGTGGTATTTATTCACCACTGGGATTTTTATTTATTTTGCTATATAAATGAAACGTCCAAAAAATTTTTAAAAAAGTGTTTTTCTTATAAAATTTTGCAAATAAATCATCTTTCTTCATAAATCTTAGCCAAAATGTATTCAGTTATCTTTTTAGTAAAAAAAAATTTTTCAATTTTATTTTTTTTTATATTATTATTTATGTTTTTGATGAAGATTTTTTTTTTTTTTTTACACTGATTGCTTTTACACCCCATAAAGGCTGTAAAAGCAATCATTTCTCCTTCTCTCTGGCTGCATTCCTGCAGCTTCCTGCAGCAATTGAGAAATACTGTGTGAGCTGTGATTAGTGACAGCTTGTCACATGGAACAAGGCTGTTGTGAATAGCCTTGTACTATGTGATCTCTGTGATCATTCACAGATTTCACACGTAGTAAGCAATGATGTCAGAATTGACATCTTGCTTACACCTATTCATGTGATCACTGATTGGCCAATCAGTGATCACATGATCGGGACCTCACACAGAGGTCCCGTACAGCGATCAGTGTTCACAGAGGGCACCGGATCGCAGTGCTGCATGCTCCCAGTGAATGCAAAGTCCAAAATGGCGGGCGCCGTTTATGAATTGCAACCCGCCCCCTGCACTGCCACCATCCGGCCGTTTATATACAGTGGCCGGATGGGAAGTGGTTAATAGACAAAGACCTTGATTTCTGGCACAAGTGTTTCTGAAGACCTTTCACAGGTATTATGAATGTGGCCCTGACAGAGGATAGATTAAAGGTCTTCACTTGATGGTACCTAGTCCTGACACGTTTAGCTAAGATGTATCCTTCGGTCTCCCTGTTATGTTTTCGGGGATGTGAGATGGTCGGTTCCATGTACCATGTATGGTGGGAATGCCCTAGGATCTGTGGCTTTTGGAAAGGCGTCTTTGCCTTGTTGCGAAAGGTTACGGGAGTGTCTGTTCTGCAAACACCCCAAATATCTCTAATCAATGAGCCAATTAATCATGTGCCTAACAGGGTACAATGCCTGATCTTCTTTATATTATTAGAAGCCAAGATGACAATTGCTAAAGCTTGGAAACAGCCTTCTGTGACCCAAGCAAAGAAAAAAATCTCTTGGATAATGCTGTATGAAAATTTGGCAAGCATTCTCCATGACAAGGTTAGAAAAGTTTGAAGCTATTTGGGAACCCTGGGCTATCCACCTCAACATTTCATTGGAGATACAAAGCAGAGCTGGAGGCCCACCGGGATGTGTGTCTCTCTACCCTGAGTTCAACTCTACTACTTTTGCTCTTTTATCTTCCTCTCTTCCTCCCTGTTCTTTTTCTGACTTTCTTTGTTTTGCTTCTCCCTTTTTTTTGTGCACCCTGGATACCAGGGCTATAGTCAGTTTTCAGATGGTTTCTAATTGTGAGATTACTCAATTGTTTATGACTCTGACTAGGATATTCTCATTGAATAAGGTCACCTAGGTCTTTTACTGTTGACCTACTTTTAGGGTACTGTTTGTTTAGTTGCAAGAACTATGGCGTTGTGACAATGCCCCCCCGTGTCATAATCCTGTTCTGCATCTTGTCTTCAAGACAAGTTATGCTAACTTTTTATGTATTAACAGTCCCCATTTGTTCTTGATTAAAAAACAATAAACATATTGAAAGTAAAAATTGTGCAGCACTAACATTAAAGTGTATAAAGCAATATAAATGTAAAATCCATACAATGAAAATTACTACACATGATTACATGTGGTCAGTGAATATGATTCAAACCACTAAATTAAATTAATTAATAACTGTAAATATAAATAAATAAAAAAATGTCAACACACCATTGTGGTGACTAAAGTGTCTGTGCAAAAAAGGAGTAATGAAGAAATGTCCAAAACAAAAAAAAAAACGAATCAAAATCTTCACTACTTGAGCTCCACTATCTTGTGCATAAGGACTGATCTCTCTTCCATGCACAATCCTTCACCAATATGCACTCACCAGAAGTTAATCATATAGAGCTGTATCAAACACTCCACAGCCACAGGGACCTCTCCAGATTGATTAATATTCAGCATAAGTCAAGGTCACATGTTCCAATAGGAAACCCAGAGTTCTATGGTGAGTTCCCGGAAGTAAAGGGCATTGTCATCTGCCCTTAGTAAAAATGCCTAATATTTATGTGTCCAATAACCGGTACTTAGCATGTCCAGTAGTTACATTAAGACTGAATGCCACTGTTCCGATCCCATTTACCAGCACGCATATCCTAGGGACTTTTAAGTTGTTTTTAACCTAAAAAACGGTCAACAACAATGTAAAAAATGCATATACTTTATTATATACAAAATATTAAAATCCACAGGATAAAAGTGTGTCTCAAAATTTCATACAATCCAATCCAGAAAACACCTCCATCATCATGCCCAGTCCATAATTACATATATCATGAACTGGTCAAATGACCATATACAGATGTATATGTAGCACCCTCCTATTCAGCTAGAGGGAGATCTAGCTCTAACTGTTGGTCAGAGGCTGAGTAGCAGCCCATGCAATAGTCAGAGGGAGTTCAAATTTTGGTCAGGGCTGAGAGGCTCTTCAGAACAGCTCTCTGGGACTTCCCCTTGCTCTGTAACTTTTGAGAAAGATCTAGAACAGGGGTCCTCAAACTACGGCCTGCGGGCCACATGCGGCCTGCCGAGGCCATTTATTTGGCCCGCCGGCAGGGGCGAGACAGGAAGGGACACTAAGTATAGGGGCGGACAGGGGGCTGCTGTACCTTACCTGGCTCCGGTCCCAGTCCCACGACGATCCTGTCCAGGAAGTGCTGCTCCTTCATTCACTCCGGCCACTCGGCTCCGCCTCCTCACCGGTGATTGAACTGTAGCTCAGGAAAGGCACACAGGCGGCCAATCACCTGAGAGGAGGCGGAGCCGAGCGGCCCTGCGAACATCGAGTGAGAGAGAGGCCGGAGTGAAGAAGGACAGCTGACAGGTAAGTGTGCCGTGCTGATGGTGCTGCTGCAACCAGGTATGCTGGCTGCAGTAGCATCTAGGCTGGAGCAGGGGTCAGCAAGTTACGTGTCATTGGTGTCAGTGGGAGGAATAGTGCCCCATCATTGGTGTCACTGATACTAATGATGGGGCATTATTCCTCCCACTGACACCAATGATGGGGCACTATTCCTCCACTGACAACAATGATGGGACACTATTTCTCCCCCCACTGACACCAACGATGGGGCACTATTGCTCCCCCCCCACTGACACCAACGATGGGGCACTATTCCACCCTCCACTGACACCAACGATTGGGCACTATTCCACCCCCCACTGACACCAATGATGGAACACTATTCCTTTCCCCACTGACACCAATGATGGGATACTATCCCCCCACTGACACCAACGATGGCACACTATTCCTCCCACTGACACCGATGTTGGGACACTATCCCCCCCACTGACACTAATGACGGGGTACTATTCCCCCCCCACTGACACAATGACGTACTATTCCTCCCACTGACACTAAAGATGGGGCACTATTCTTCCCACTGACACCAATAATGGGGCACTATTCCTCCCACTGACACCAATGTTGGGACACTATCCCCTTCCCCCACTGACACCAATGACAGGGCACTATCCCCCCCCCCACTGACACCAATGATGGGGCACTATTCCTCCCCCCACTGACACCAATAATGGGGCACTATTCCTCCCCCCATGGACACTAATGATGGGGCACTATTCCTCGAACTGACACCAATAATGGGGTACTATTCCTCCCACTGACACCAATAATGGGGCATGATTCTTCCCACTGACACCAATGATGGGGCACTATTCCTCCCACTGACACCAATGATGGGGCACGTTTCTTCCCACTGACACCAATGATGGGGCACGTTTCTTCCCACTGACACCAATGATGGGGCACTATTCCTCCCACTGACACTAATAATGGGGCACGAATTCTTCCCACTGACACCAATGATGGGGCACTATTCCTCCCACTGACACCAATGATGGAGCACTATTCCTCCCACTGACACTAATGATGGGGCACAATTCTTCCCACTGACACTGACACCAATGGGGCACTATTCCTCCCACTGACACCAATGATGGGGCACTATTTCGCTCTGTAAGACACACTTGGGGGGAAATGTCTGTGTGTCTTATGGAGCGGCTGGCCCAGTATTCCCGCCGCCGTTGTATGTCCGCAGTCTCTGGTCATCTCCTGTACTGTGTCCACATTTGTTCATAGTTTTTTTTTTTTTTAAAACTATAGTCCGACCCTCCAACGGTCTGAGGGACAGTGAAATGGCCCCCTGTTTAAAAAGTTTGAGGACCCCTGATCTAGAAGCTGTGGGCAGAGATTAGGAGTGGCTGGTCTGTACTCTTAGAGGATCTTGGCCAATTCCCAACAATATGCTTGGCAAAGGGCCAGGACAGACTTTAAGAGTAACTGAGCCTGCTTAGCAGCAGGAGAGTTTGGGTGGAAGTTAAGAAAGTGAGCCTGGAGAGCAGGAGCCTGGAAGGGGGTCCACATGGAGAGGAGCTCACCGCTAGGCAGGATGATTTTGTAAAGAGGAAAGTTTGAGACTTCACCACGCCCCTGAAAGAGGACCACCTGTGAGGCAGGAAAGGAGCGGCCCAGGTAGAAGGCCTAGTAGTAGCCACTGATCCATCAGCAACACAGGAGAAAGACTAAATGAGTAAACCTGCACCTCCTGGACTAGATAGGGAAAGGAGCACTTTGGTGGGAAATCGGATTAGCGACTACCTGGGACTGTCTTACTTTAAAGTGGCAGGCACTGGATCCCCTGCTCATGGATTCACCCAGATTGGCTGGATTGGTGAATAGGAAATCATTATAAATCAAGCCCACTTTCTATGTAAAGCAAGCAAAAGTTAAGAGCAATATTTTTTAGAGTAAATGGTTTCTATTTTGGCAAAACTGTCAATGAAGATGTCAGCATTAGGAAAGGCATAGCACATCTCTAATCAGAGGTTTTTGGTAAAAGAATAATAATACATGACTGCCTTCACTTTTTTTGACAAATGAATAATATTTAATTATACAGCTTTTAGGCATAAACAGTTTCCATGGCTTTGCTTTCCTTGTCTTAAAACAGTTTTTTGTTTTGAAGGTGGAATATGTCTAAAACATACTAATAACAGCTTTTAATGTGAATCTGTCACTGTAAATTAACATATTGTGGTTCAGTGAGGTTGGTTTTACAGTATGTGTTAATGTTCCTTTTGAATTAAAACAAAATATATTTCTATTCAAAATGAAATATAGGATTTCTGAGAAAGGTAATTGTTTTTTAAAGTGTGTCTTGCTGTTTATGAAATGCTTAGTGCAGTCATAGATTTCATTCCAACCCTAGGAGCATTTTTAAACATGTGAACCTGTGGTAATTTGCATTCCTTATAGGATATATAAACCCAAGAATAAAAATGTAATATACTGCAGTTTACCATTCCTTAGATGTGGTTGGTGCAATCGTTTTCAGACCAAAAACATTTTTATCAAGTACAGAGATCGTGTGTTGATCTTGCTAGAATGTAGTGGACTTGTCACTCCTGGTGAGCTGAACTGAAAGAACAAACAAGGCAATCTTCCGTCTTTCAATGCCTAATCCTCTCCACCCCCAATACATATTTTTACCCTAGCTTGGCTCCCTTCAGAGATACAGTGGAGTGAGTGTAACTACCCATGGACAGGAAGGGCATTATTCATAAAATTTCCAAATGAAAATAAAGGACAAAAGCCTGAAAAAAAAATAATGCAGCCATCTCATCTAAGAACTTGTAAGCTAAAATATATACACAATTTTTTGCTTTTGAGTTTTGGTACACTTTACCTGGATTTGTTTTCAATTACACCTGAATCTGAATTGGTATATGAAGTGAACAATCAGTTCACTTGGCAAGAATAAAAAATACTATACATAAACCAAACAGAAGACAGTGACATACAAAAATAATATGAAATAATGAACAATGAAAGCAATGAAAACGCAAATTGATAAAACAATTATAAAACAAAACAATAATTTTGTACTTTCCTGTATATTGGATACTTATGTCATCTATCTTTAAAATACCCATGTGGGCTTTAATATGTGGGTTTGGATGTCCCAAGAATTGAGTGTCAGGATCGGTGAACACCAATATAATATTAAAAAAGCGTACCAAAACACAGCTTTTCAAGCAACCTCAAACAATACCACAATAGAGTTCCTAGACATTTGTCTTTTTTGGGGTTAGACAAGATAGATAGACACCAGAGAGATATGGATATGAGAAAGGCTGTATCTAAAAAATAAACCTGATGGACTTATGATCTGTGATCCTGACGGCCTAAACATCGACAATGATTTGATGTCAGCGCCTGTGGTAGTGAGCTCTATTGATCCACAACTTGGGGTTCCCCAGGGCACGGAGTCTAAGCCCAGCCTGCTTGTTCACCAGGGCCCCTGATGGTGGGGATGGACTTGCAGCAGGCTGGGACTAGGTCACGGCCCCCAAGTACACCCAGCTGAGGTGGAGGAGACCGCTAGCGGGAGCAGGGTACAACGGGAGAAGACACAGGGAATCCAATTGGCAAGCTGAGGTCAGGACAGGCAGAAAACAAGCAAGGTCAGGAACGAATCTGGGATTGGTACACAGATAGACAATATAGGATTCACAGCAGAAACACAAGGGAGCTCCAACAACTAAGAAGTTGCTCGGGCAAAGTGGCCTAGTCTGAGCACATCTTATATAGACAGGCAGACAAGGAGGCGGGACAGGAAGTGATGGAAGGGAAGGAAATAAAACCCAGAAGAGCACAGACAAACCTGAGAAGGGATCAGAAACAGGACTTTAGCAAGAAAGGTAAGAACACAAATGAAACTGCAGTCTAACATGTGACATTTGAATTGTTTTTTATCTAACTATTAATTAGTCTTCCACCAGTTTTTGGGATTTGTATGGTTTTTATTGTTGTATTTTTATGAAATAATCTTCTATGAAATAATTATGTTTAGCTTATAATTATTAGGTAAACAATGGAGTATTATTTTTTTTAAACTATTTTTTATTATTATTGATTTCTGCTATATCAATATGTGATATTTGACTTTCTTGCTTTGGGGTCAAGTTGGTGAGTGCGTAGAGTTTGCTGTGGGCACAGTGGAAAGGAGCATGTATATATTTATTTACTTCATAGAAGCACATGAGTAAATAAGGAAACTGCATACAAGATTTGCTTATTAGGACTTTTAATGGATGTTTATAATTATTTGCATTTTAACTTTCAATAAGTGCAAGCACTGTTTTGATATATTTATTCTTTCTTTTGACACTGTTGGTATTTAAGTACAACAGCTGTACACAGTTATTTTTGTGATACTGCTTTGTAAAGGTGTGGGTGTTTGCATTGTTTATTTTTTATCTGAAATTTGCCAAAGAAATCTGAAAAATACAATAGTAGTACATTGCATTTCTACCGATGTCTCTTGGCTTACAATTGTATTCTTTCTGATTTAGTAATTGATAAGTGCAATTCACACTTTTATGAGAATTTCATAATTTAGGAAGTGCTATTCATGCACCTTGTTCCACTTTTCTGTTTTTGCACATAGCAAGAAACAATCCTGACCTTATCCGAAAAACATTTTGGCTTTAGATATATTTTAACTCAACTGTAATTGTCATATAAGAAATTTAGGGGCATCTGTGTCTTCATAAAATGCCACAGGTCCATGAGTCATCTCCCATATACTTATATGTCAATGTTCCTTTTCAGTTTGAAATCTATTTGGTGAAATCTTTTTATATATACTGTACATAACCCTGGCTGACATATGTAGCACCCTCCAAGGTAGCTAGGAGTAGCAGCCCAGGTGTAATAGTCAGAGAGGTCAAATTTTGGTCAGGAGCTGAGATGTACCGCAGATCAGCTCTCTGGGATTTTTCCCTGCACTAGAGCTCTGGAGAAAGTCCTACAAGCAGTGGGAGGGAGTGAGGAGTGGCTGGTTTGCACCCTCATGGGGTTCCTGGCCAATCCCCAATAGGAGGCTTGCCTTGAGGCCAGGACAGTCCTTAAGAGTGACTGAGCATGCTAAGCAGGAGGAGAGGAGATAGTAGAGAGGAGAGTTTGGGTGGAAGATGGAGAGGAAGTGAGGATGGAGAGTAGGAGCCTAGGAGAAAGCCCAGATGGAGAGGAACACTTGAAAAGAGGAAAGCTCAGCATCTCGTTGGCCCCCAGAGAGAGGACCACCTGTTTAGCAAGATAGGAGCGGCCCAGCTAGAAGGCCTGGTAGCAGCCACCAACTCATCTGCTCACAGACGAAGGACTGATTGAGTAAACCTACACCCCCTGGGCCAGCAAGGGGAAAGAGCACTTCAGTGGGAAACTGGATTAGCTACCTACCCAGGACTGTCTCACATTTAAAGTGTCCAGGGAATCCTTCAGGCAACCGAATTAGGAGATTCTGGGGTCTAGGGTGCGACTACATCCCATACACCCTTTTTACACTATCCAAGTTCAAATTCCCCTAATAAAATCCAATAAACAAGCTCAAGCTTGTACTGCTACAGGGTGGCAGGCCTGAGCAAAATCATGTATATATACGTGATTTTCATTTCCGGGTAGGGGGCGCACACGCCACCGTACCCATGCCGCCATTGGCGGCTACAGATGCCAATCACCGGGTCCAGGCCAGAAATTCCCTACTGGCACCTGACAATCACTGAGTAACACTGACAGGGGAGAGATCTGTGTGTAAACAACACAGGCCTCACTCCTGCCAACAGTAACATGCCACTGTGTATTTCTCTGCACAGCAGAGAAATACACAGCAGCATGTTTCCCAAGTAAAACACACACAGCACATGATGTTAAACTGCACAAAGTTAACCCTTTGATTGCCCCAGATTTTAACCCCTTTCTGCCCAGTGTCATTAGTACAGTGTCAGTGCTTTTTATTAGCACTGATCAATGTATTAGTGTCATTGGGATGTCAGTGGCAGTTAGTC